GCGCCAGAGAGGCCACATCTGACTCTCAGCCCGCAGACAGCCACTACACACATCAAGGCACACTGGACCGACTGCGGTGTCCAAGGGTCCGACCACTATCTTCCCTACCGCCAGCAACAAGCCACCGCCTAGCTGTCGGCCGCCTGAGTTGGGATGGGTGCAAGCTGAAAAGGATAGCAGATCGAAGATGAGCATGGTAGAGCAGGTTGTGTAAAGAAAGAGGAATAGACAGAGGGGGGAGGAGAGCAGAAACGAGGGAGAGGACGAAGGAGAGCGAAGGCAATAACGAGGAAAGGAAGGAAAGATAGGAAGTAAAAACGAGAAAGCGAGCAAGTCAAGTCAAGTCAAGTTTATTAAAGGAAATACAAGCAAACGAGAGAGAGCAAAGCAAAAGAACAAAAGGAGACAAGAACTCAGCTTACCTTGTAGCGGAGAACACACACACCAAGATTTATACAAGCAGGGGATAAGGAGACGCCGTCGCCATGGCTTACTAATAAGATAAAAACAAACTGTCTAATTAAGTATCCAACTGGAAGACGGAATCTTGATAGGTGAGCCGTTGGTCTTAGATCGTCGTTTAACGCCCATCACATCCATCACACAAAGAATAATGACATGCACTCGCCAATGGTGCGCAACTCTGTTACATAAATTCGATGCAGGATGAAAGTGATGACGCGACTGGCGACTACCTGGTTTGCGTTTTGAAAAAAAATGTCCTGTCTGCTAACATAACTGTAGGCTTCCTTAGCTCCTAAAGCTGTCATACGAGTGGCACTTCGCAGGCAGAGGACCCAAAAAACGCTAATAAATATGAACATTCAGTTGACCTAATTTTGAAAAATGCACGGCCTCGGTGGGAATCGAACCCACACAGCACGTAAGGCTTTTGCGCAGTCAAAACTCAAACACTGAGCTGCGAGGCTCACCGTGCACTGTGAATTTAATCACAATTGGATCAATCGAATTATTAAAATCTGCCAAACCCCTAACAATCAAGGTTACCCTAGTAGTCCATCCAATGGGTCCTAGATGATTACTTAGGCATTTCTGCCTGGCAGTCAGCTTACTGCCTCCCTATCTTGTGGAGTAGTTTGCTTTTATCACTGTCCTTTATGTGGTCAGACACTAAGCCTGGATTTTTAATCTCATATTAAGCAGAATTGCTTCAATATTTTAACTAGTTATTTTAAGTAGAAACGGTAAAATATAAACCTCAAACGGATTTAAATAATTCTACATGCGCAAATTGGTCCAGACCTCTTTTCGGCACGACCTCTATAGAATCAGCTCGATTATTAGACAGACAACCAATCCGAAGTGATTAGCTCACTGTCGGGATCACAGTAGCGTGTCAGTGGGTTTTCATAATACGCACAGGAGATTCCCTACCTCATTAAAAAATTCCGATTGAAATATATTACTTCAATGGAGTTGTAAAATGGATTTTAGTGTAGTCTTATAGCAAGGTTTCAGCCCTGTCAGGATGCAAGCTTTAACACTTTGACTGCGACTCCCAAAAATAGCCCGTAGTTTGCCATATTGCGTGTATCACATATGGCGCACGTCACAGTCAAAGTGTTAAAGTAAGCGTCTTTCTGAACGCCCGCAAAAAACGTATTTGTAAAAGTTGGTATCTAATCAGTGCGCAGTCTTCTCATTGATTTCAAATGCCCTTATGACTTTAGGTATATAAAAAATGGACAGAGATCTCATTTTTGTATCCATTTGGTAGCAGGTTATGTATTCTTCAAATTTTACACTTATAGAAATATAATCTTTCGGTTTTAAAGTAAGGTTCTCATTACGATATCTTTAAGACCGCAAATTTATTTTTTCCATTGTATTCGTTAATTCATTAATGTTGTCTTTAACATACACAACAGAATTTGTATCCATTGCCAAGTTTTATGATCAAGTGTATGACCTCACAGGCGAAACCCTTAATAGCTTTTACACAGAATTATTTTGTATGATTCTGAAAATAATACGGCCTCGCAGATTAGCTAACTAGCGAATGAAACAAGCAAAAGAAACTGCTTTAGTGCGGGAAAAATAGGATTTTGGAGATAGTGAATGCACTTGAAGTGATTTATCTATAAATCATACTTTTATGGTGTTTTTCAAATAAAAGAACAAACGAAGGGTCTCCATAGGGTCAGTATGCCATGTCACTTCCAAAGTGGACAAACATAGATGATGATTACAAGAGACTGTCTAACTGGAAGTTATGCGACATGCAGAGAAGATCGCCTGAGAGTTCTTGTTATGGAGCTCGTAGGAGCTTGTGGCCGGTAGCCATCAGTTGAACTGTTGGGCTGTGCAATTCGGCTTGCCTATTCACAGGGATATACACAGCAAGTTTCTCGTAACAGAGTACCTTACAATTTAGGGCAGAGAAGCGGGAACTGTACTTTACCGATTGAGGACAGAGTGGGCGTCACCGGTGATTAGCCGGAGGCGGTCGAGTGTGAATATTGTGGCGAATGAGCTCATTCAAGTTAAGGTCACCAGTGTATAGTCCTTGGGTACTTAATCTACTTGGAACGCCAAAATTAGCAAAGTCAGTCTGGATTAGTAATAAAAAACAAAGAAACTAAAGGGGGGTGTTTTATTGTGCACAGTGGAGCCATCACTGACGAGACTGAGGCGTGGGTTGAAAACGTAAAGTCAAGCCTTGGAGAAATTAAGGCAATGGTTTCAGATGCTTTTGTCGGTTTTCGGGTATAATTGCAAGTGCTGTGTGTCGAATTGTGTGTGTGTTGCATTCACCCATTTCACCTCAGGTGACCGATCAAGGAGACGGTGGTCTATTGCTCGCTGTGGGGGAGAAAGTGGGGTCGACCCGCAGCGCATTCCATCCATACACATACATAATCAACCTGATAGGCTTGAAACCATCGCGGTGCACTAAAAGCTGTGGCTTGGAGGATTGCCAGCCGACGGGATAGCTTGGACACCGCAGTCAGTCCAGTGTGTGTCTTACTGTGTGGAGTGACTTACTGCGGGCTGAGAGTCAGGCTGCAATGGCGCGTGTTGGAGTGTGTTTCGCGCACACCGTCTGCGCCCTCCCCCAACTCCAGTCTTTTTGACTTATGTCTTGGCGTCGGGTCCCGGTGTGGGAATGATGAGAGCGTGAGGTAGATTCTCCGCAAGTCTACTTTCCCTATAATTCCGCGTCTGCCTCCTGTATGCTGAAGTGCGTGGTGGACATCGTCGAGAGCGATGGTCGAACCGTCGTATCGCATTTCAAACCCTTTCGCGTGAAATTGTGGGATGCTGTGTGGGGCCAGGTCATATATGTGCCACGCGCAAAGGGGCTTTCTAGTTCTATCAGCCGCTGTGAACTCACTCCGTCTTACTTGATAAAGCGTGTCAAATTATCGACTGATGCTCAAGGTAGAGAGAGCAGAGAAGGAGATGAAAAGTGAACCATCTGATGCGCTTGCAGCTATCACGGTGCGCACAAAGCCATGGCTTGGAAGCCCGCCAACTGACATAGTCAATTCTATCAGCTATTACATCCCATTTTCTTGAGTCTCTTAGGACACAGGGTACAGGAGAGTAGGGAGGGACGAAGAAGACAAATGCATGAAAAGTCTCCTATTACAAATTGGAGTACAAGGCAACCTCGCTGCACCCACCGTGCTGTGAGTTATGCGGCGGTGGACCCTGTCG